AACAGTACTTACTTCTACAATCTTTCGCAAGCCATCCTTCTGTATAAATCTGCCCCCTTTAAAGGCAGATGATCTATTCTGTGTTTAGACTATCAACTCTACAACATAGGACTACTGTAGAGGAACCACACTGTGATAATTTAATTCATATTAAGACATAGTTTGCTTTAAAAAAAAATCAGAGTATTTTCTGTATTGCTACTCAGTTTTTTATATGAGTTTTAGTAAATATTGTTCAAAATAGCAAGATACATTATTACAGTTACCATGTTTCTATATAAAGTAAACAATTTATAAATTTTACTTAAGTGTATCTATATATAAAAAAAATTTAATAAATCTAGTGCATTCAAAACACCAGAAATTGGATTGACATGAACTGCAAGATCTAAAGCTTTGCCAAAATATTAGCGCCTTAGCTTTTAACAAACACATGCTTCAGCATTGTACTGAAAAGAGTTTTCTATCAGTCCATGTGATTCAGTTTTGCTTTTCCTGTTTTCTTTTTTTTTCCATGTGAGGGTTTTTTTGTGTTGTTTAATCATTTTTTGTAGCCACCTGAACTCTATTCCAGACATCACACGAGCAGTTTCATAAATTCGATTTCAGAAGATTAAAAGAAAAAAAACCAAACTCATTTCTTTCCCCTTATCTATGACAGATAAAAATGCAATGTTATTACCTCAGGAGAAGGTAGTTGAGTCACTACTGCATCATCAAGTGGTGAAGTAAGAAGTTTGTCACCTAGAATCCTTTCTAAATAGTCTGCCATTACTTCCTGTTGCTTAAGGCTGCAGTGGTTCTCCAAAGACAGGATAACAGGATAGTCCAATGCCTGGAAATACAATTTAATGGCTTTTACTGTTAATAAATGAAAAGATGACTACTTGATTTCCCAAAATATCTCACAAAAGTCCCTCTGGTAATCTGTATTTTCCTTTATTTTCAAAACTTTCAGAATATAGGTCAGTTATTTTAGCTTAGTAATGCAATAAAAAAGCTCATATTACTTACAGGAAAGAGAAAGTACAAGTGCAGAACAAAAAATACATCCTCAGGAAGCTGAGGGTGTTAAAAAGGGCTAGACATATAGAGAAATAAAAAAAGAAGAAAAGAAAGTAGGGAAATCAAATTAAAATCAGTCAAGAAGGACAAAACACTTCATTAGAAAAGCCAGGTGATATCTGTGATGATCTTTGGAAAGTCCATATTGAAGTATATTTGTCCAACAGTCCATAGAAAATAATTTATCAGAGGCATTTAACATAATGGTTAATACTGGATGTAAAGGCAGTACAGAGAAAATACGTTTTAAATCGACTCAAAATCAGGCTTATTCAACTGCGCTGGGCAGAGTACCACCTGGAGTCATAAAGCTTCCCTATGGGAAGAACTTGGAAGCTTTGCCATAATTGTGCCTTTAAATTTAAATCTGACAGAGTTTAGAGAGCGCTCCTATTGGGACCAGCAGCTATTTTACAGGACAGTGAAAAAACAATTAGAGACAAGGCAATATTATCTTTTAGCTAAATAAAAAGTGTAGCCACCGGTTTACTATAAGTGACAGAGATTTAAAGTATTTTTCTCTGTTTTTGTACAGTATTTCCTTCATTGTTTACAGTTTTGTTATGTAAAGAATTGTTTTGCTGTTTTTAAAAGGTAAAATTGGTTTCTAAAATTGCAATTGACAAAGTAAACCAAGATTAAATGTCTTTTGCTTTAATATATGACAGATTTTAACTGACTAAATTTCAAGCTGACAGTATCCTTAAAATTTGCTCAGAAATCATTAAACAAACTATGAATACATTTTTATAATATCACAAATATTTCTTGGGACTCTTTACACCTTCTTCATTGCAGCACTCAAGAAAGACAGGTGAAACATGGGAAATCGAGTAAAAACTAGAGATAGGTCAAATGAGACATGTCCATTTAGACCATGTAAATAATTCTCCTAAGATGCCAGTAATAATGGTGACTACTAAAGACAAATTCTCTGAATAAAATCTTTGCTTGGAAGGGACCTAAACTGGCAATTTTTAAGGTAAGTATCATTTATACACTTTTCACCTGAGCATTTGCTCTTGACTACTAAAAGAAGCACACCTTAACCTGGATAGTCATCAGCTATTGTGATTTTACCATCTCAGTGTAACTTATGTCTTTAAATGAAGTTTGTATTGCAGCTATGTACAATATTCTGTGTATTAGCAAAAACAAGAGTGTTAGATCTAATGGATTGTGACAAGCAGTGAGGTAAAACTGTATTTTTGTGTTCAATATCTCTTAAAATCAGAGACTAATTAAATTTAAATTTTAGAAAATAGAACAGAAAATTACATAGCTTTGCTTAACCCTGGAAAGGCTACAAATGTATACGTATAAAATACATAAACATGTATGGTCATAGGTGTATATCCAAATATGTAGTCCTGGCCTGAATACAAGAGTTATCTTAATAGTCACTCAGGACTTTACCCGAGGAACCTATACAAAAGACTAAGACAGTGCCAAAAGCTCTCCAGCTTTCACTGCTTTGCCAGGGATCAGCAGCAGGGACGTTGCCCTAAAGAGTCACCTGGCAAAAAGACAGCAGTAGATGGTGACCTTTATCAGACCTTGAATTCAAAATAAAAATAGAGGAAATGGAAAACAAAGTAAGTCTCAAACTCAGCTAAAAAAATCCATGTTCCTCCATTTCATAAATTCAAGCACAGGATATAAGACAGACTGCTAGCAATAGAAGAACAAGTGAAGTCAAAAAATTAAAAGATGTAAAGAAGGAGTAAAAAGTCAGACTGACTCTGAAGTAGTTGGTAACTCTATATTCAGTCCTTACCTGAATGACATCAAGTGAGAATTCCACCTAACAAGCTGAGTAAGATCTTCTGACCAGCAAAATATATTTGCAATTCTTTAAATAAAATAAAGATATTAAGAACAGAGAGCAGAATTTTCCCATAATTTATTTCAACAACGCCTACTGTCACAAACGTTGTCTCTCTTCCATATTTTTTTACCCTGGAGAATCTCTGACAACCATGTCCCTGTGTTTTGTTGAAGTCACCATCACATTTTAACCAACAAATACATGCATATGTACATATATATATACATACCATAAATGCGTACTTCTCTATCACTTAAATTACATCACGAAATTGAAGTTTGCTTGTTAAAGTGTGAGCATGAGAGACAATAGGTTCATTGTTTAAGCCATCCCAGCAGTCAATTTCTACGCAACGGCATCCTTTTAAGAGAGCACTTCAAAAGAACAAGAGAAGGGATTTCACAGTCAAAAGAGATATCGCTCTTTCTTATAAAAGTCTCTGCATTTCTGATTGTAAGCATGTAATTATGAAACCCCTACTTTTTCATCAAAAAGAAAATAAATCCCATGGAATTATAAAATATGACAAAGAGCTGTATGTTCTGTTGTTTATCTTAGGCATGATAGCTAATAAATTCTACCAGCGCCTTTAGGAGTAAGATGGATACCTGAATAACCTCCGTTAAGAGACTAAGAATGAGGGTCAAAGACTTAAATAAAAGAATTTTGGAATAATGGTAAATTGTGGCCTAAAGTTCGCTCTTTCTTATAAAAGTCTCTGCATTTCTGATTGTAAGCATGTAATTATGAAACCCCTACTTTTTCATCAAAAAGAAAATAAATCCCATGGAATTATAAAATATGACAAAGAGCTGTATGTTCTGTTGTTTATCTTAGGCATGATAGCTAATAAATTCTACCAGCGCCTTTAGGAGTAAGATGGATACCTGAATAACCTCCGTTAAGAGACTAAGAATGAGGGTCAAAGACTTAAATAAAAGAATTTTGGAATAATGGTAAATTGTGGCCTAAAGTAGAAAAAGAAATATTTGAAAGGGAGTTTTTTATTACTATGCTAGGATTTGTTAGCAAGTTTGAGAATCATTATCCATAAACAACAGCATCTCACAAAATCAGGTTGTGCTCACTCTTGGCATAATTCACTTGTTCTCTCCCTACCATGTTTCTAAGGGGGAAGGCTGAAGTTTCTTGAATGCCTTAAACTTACCTTAGCTTAATTTTTAATGTGTTAGTGATACACCTTAAAGGCCTCAGTTTTCTAATATTTGTCTTGTTACTAATTTAAACATTTCTTGTAGCTTATTTTATCTAATTACCAACCCGTCCTCTATATGCTAACATTTATGTACTAACAATATCTCAAAGATGCTTTTAGTTTATTTTATCATTTCATATTTTCTTTGCACAAATAGTAGATAAAGAGAGGAGGCTTTACACCCTCTTTGCAATTACATTAAGCAATGTAGTATTAATGTCATATCATTTTTGCTACTGCTAGAAATAAACTCACTAGTGTTTCTGACGTCTGCAAGCCATTATAGAATATCCAGAGAACAGCCAAAACAAAAGAGTTCAGACAGATGAAGATTCCAACTACTTTCACTTCATTAAAGCAACACAAATAGGAATGCGGGAAAACTGTCTTCCAAATTCTTCCTAAATTCTGTTGCCCTCTCTCTTGCCTTTATTGCACAACACATTTTCTCCTTCCCTCATAATTTCTTCTAAATGTGTCTTGGCAATATGGCATCCTGTTCTCCTTCTCCTCTTGGAGTCATATGCTGCAAATTCAGATCTAAAGTTTCTTCCCTCTCCTGACTATTACATTCCGCTGTACTGTGCCCTTATGTCCTGTATATTGATCAGATTAGAGTTTGCCGAGGAATTCTACATTTTTTTTGGATTTTTGCATGGCATGTTGAGATTAAAAACTGATTTAATCATACACTGTGCAACATACTATAGATTACAGTTGCTATGAGGTAGATTTTTTGAGATATAAGTCAGAAAATAGATTGTTTCCAGACTATGAACAGATAGTTTGGCAAATATATTGAAAAGGGTACACACAAAATAAAATACCACTATCCCACTTTCTACTCGTATCTATGATGATTTAGTTCCTCATTGCCAAGAAGATTTATATGTAAGTTAGTATTAATTAAAAAAATTAAAGAATGTCTAAATTATTTAAAAAAAATATTGAAATACCTGGCATATCCCTGTAAATCGCTGCGTGCTACTACCCTGTCAGTTATCAAGTAGGTTTTGTGCGAAGATGAAATAAAATAGTCACATAACGGGTGGTTCATATCTTGGTAGACGGTCTTCAGGTCATTTTTAAAAACTGAACAGTCTTCTGAGATCAAGTATCTTACCAATCCTTCAAATGACATCTGCCTTCTTTTTCTCACTGTATAAAAAAAAAGAAAGAAAAAATTTCTGATGTGAAGATAAGCTGATGGTTTACTTTTCATAATTTTTAATAGCCAACTCTAAACACTGCTACAGGATATACAGCATAACATTTTCTTGCAATTTTAAAATTCATAATGAACAATATAAATGCAAACATCAGATGTGTGTAGTTTTGGAACTGAGTTGTTGTGGTTCAAAATTATGAGAGGAAATTAATATGTTCTGAGGTTTTTTTTTTCTTCTATGGCCACCAGTAAGAAGAGTTTGCAGTAGCCCTAATTAAATATAGAGGAAATTATTTGTTGTTTAGTTTTGGAAAGTAACACGTCATTCAATGCACAAAGAGAATCTTCTTTTCTCTGTAGAAAGAAAAGAAATTGTTCTCCAAAATGTCAGTCAGAGACTGTCAAAATAATCTCGCAGAAACTATGATTTATAGCACCAAGTTTCCTCCTTGGTGGTGGAAATTTCCAAATAAATACTGATAATACAATCTTTAAATTAGAAATATTTGAACTAAAAAATAACATTTTAACAAAATAAATGACTGCCTACAAAGACTAATTGCAAATCAAGCTTATTATGTTACTGCTTCCATAACAAAATATGTTAATTGCCTCCATACTAGTGGTAGCCTTCTCGTTTGTTTTGGTTTTAACTGATTTAATGACAAACAGATTCATTACACTGTCAGCTGCTGGTCCAATGTCATACTTCATATGTAACAATTTTGCAAACAATCTCAGAAGACAACTTAACCTCAAAACATAACCTAGTTTGAATTACTCAGGGATTTCATCAAGTTCTGACCCTAAAATAACCTTATTATTCTCACCATACTAGACTAGCGATAATTAAAACAGTAAGTAATCCAGGATTGCCCTCTATTAATGATAATTTAAAGAGGTCAATGTATGCAAACTTTTGACCAAAAAAAACCCAAAAAACACAAAACCAACCCCCCAAAAATATTCACAGTATTTTGACCTAGAAAAATTTGCAATGTTTTAAAATGCTAAACAACAATAAAGGATAAGGATGAAGGCCCTCCAACCATCATACATAGATAAAATACTGTCCTCAGCCATACAACGTTACTCCTACCAGCGGTCTGTCGAAGCTACTCTTAGAGATTGCCATTGACGAAGAATCCACAGACATCCTAGTAATCCCATTTCACATCTTACTGTTAGGAAATTTCCGTAATACTTACTTTGAAACTTCCTTGCTGAACAAAGTATTTGCTCAGTTTTCCTCTCCTTTTATTTCACAGTCTTATTTGTGTATGAGGACTGTTTTCACACTTCTGCTAATTCTACTACTTTCTAGAAGAAACTAATCCAATTCTGTACATCCTTCTGTTAAAGTTAGATATTTTTAAAATTATGATAATTTTCATAATTCTTCTATAACTTTTTCATCTGGTGAACTTCCTTCCTAATGTTGGATGCTCCAAATGGAATGTAGCGCTTCTTATTGAAATCCATCCTTCTTTTCTGTATCATCAATTTGCCAATATCACTTTGACTTCTAATCCTGTTCCCTATTACACTTTAAGTTCTTGTGTCAAATCTAGATTTAATAAAATTAATTTCTATTCCATCATCCAGTTTCTCAACTACATAACTGAGGTCTGGATCCCAATACAATGCTCAGCAAAACTATAGATTGATGTAGCCTTTCATTTGACTCTACACTGTTGATGCTTAACTTCTCAGAGTAATTTTCTAATGAGTTGCTTATGTACCATGTAGTTATTTCGCCTGCTTCCTCAACTTGCTTCTAAGAATGCCAGACAGTGTTAAAAAGTAGGATTTTTCTTCTATCCACCAGCTCTGTTACTCTCTCATAGAAGAAAACTGGATACTGTTTCTTCATGGGGTGTCCTGACAATCTGTTATTCATCCTTTCCATTTTAGAAGCGATTGCATATTCATTATTTGTTCCATTATTTTCTGGTTACTGACTGGTGTCTGGTTCCTTGGATGTTCTCTTTCTAAATAGACATTACATTTGATCACTCCCAGTCTTTCGATTCCTCAACCCTTCTCCATGTATTTAAAAAGACAACTTGTATTAGCCAAGTTTGTTACAGTCAATTTCATAAGAACTTGGATTTCTCAACCTGTCTTCACCAGTCTGATTAAGTCATTTAATCATGTCCTACCCTGGTTTTTTCCATATTTTTGGCTGAGATCTTACTCTGGTCTCATGAGCCATATTAGCCAACTGATGGTACTTAGGTAGTGCACTAAGAATTTCCTTGGTCTTTCTTTTAACTAACATGTTTGCAGAATGGCTTGACTGCTATGTCTGATGACTATTGATAATTTTGTCGTATTTAGTATCTTCGCTCTTTTCATATATCCATATGCACATGTTATATTGTTTTATAACTGCAGCAATAGGATTAAATTTCTACTTTCTGTGTCTTTTAAAAACATTTTGAATTTTTTTTACATGCTGCTCAAAACAGAATACATTCATCTTCTATGCTTTATCTATAATGAATTCCAGAAATTGTAGACTTAATTCCTATGAAGGAAGGCTTTTCATCAATAGTATCTGGTTTTGGTTTCTGATTAATTTGTTTTTCATGTTCTACATATTCCTCTGTGTAATTATAAGTTGGGCCAGTAACTACTGGATTTGGCATTTGGATTTGAGGTTTTTTATATGTTTTTATTTATTAATGATTCTTACATGATTTTTTTATGTATATTTATCTTTTTAGTCAATGACAAACACTGACTTTGCAAAGTTTTGCATATTTTTGAATTGTTTTTGATGCTTTCCTGGATGCTCTTGTCATTGATAAATTATAAATGCGTATTCTTAAGAAGACATGATATATGCTCATGACTATAAATCCCTTGCAGTGAAAACATCATTTTTAAATGTGTGTTAGTTAGCCAACATGTAAGCTCTTTGACTACAGTAAAACATTCTGCTCATGTCTGTAATCAATGGAATAAAAATACAGCTTATTACAGGCCCTTACATCACATTTGCTTACAATTTTTTTTTTCTCAGGGATCTGTTGCTGCTCTCCTTGAGCTGCACACAGCTAAAGTTACCATCATGTTTCTCAAGAACTACTAAAACTGCAAGCAAGTTTGTGAAATGGTGAGACCTATCTGTAAGCAGGAGGAGAGTGGCTTTGCATTGACAGTTCTGGCAGCATGTGCATTCCCTGAAATGAGATATGCAAAAGAGCATCATGTGTACATAAATGACATACCACCTGCTAAAACAGGTTTTCAGAGATCTGATGTTTAGTAGAAGATATAGTTTGGAGACCTTAAGATAAAGCTTTTTTTTTTTTTAACCTCTTACCGGTGGGGAAAACCTACTGGATTTCTTTAGAACTCTCTCTTATATTTGTCTGACAAAGATATCAAAACTTGTTAGGAATGGCACAGTTATAGTATGTTCTGACCGTTTTTTGACATTTTCTGCTTCCATATTAAAAGAAATTGGAATCTATGTCCATAACTATTCCACAGTTAAAAGATACTTTCCTCAAGGCCTCACATTTCTTCTTTAGAGGAACCTCAGTTTTTCTCTGTTAGGATCTTTCAGCAGTAATTAGTGTACACACATCCATTTGGTGTAGAAAGAAAAAGAAAGCAAGAAAAAATTTCTGTCATCTTGTAGCTTCTTCTTGTTTACAAAGTTCAATGCTTTTCCCCTGCCCTCCTCTTTTGGATAGTCTACGATACAGTTTATACATAATACTCTTTTTTTTCCAAACATAACTTTTAAAAAAATGCTTTTCCCCATTTCTCCAGTTAAAATAAAAATTAAAAAAAAGAGATGTGACCATGGTGGAGCGGCAGAAAGAAATCACTGTGCATTGACCACAGCCTCCTGCGATGCCTGCTTCCCTGCTGAAGGGGCTCGGTACCACTTGCAGCGAAGATGAGGTGGGAGAAGAAGTGTCTGGGCTGAAGCAGAGACTTGGAAGTGGAGAAGAGGGGACCCTGAACTGAAGTTGAACCTGGGAGACAGGGAGAAAGGTGTTTTCCCTGTTTTTAAATGTATGTGTTCTTAGTTTCTTAATAGCTGAATTAGCAATTAAATTTTTATGTTACCTGGCCACTAGAGCTATTGAAATGGATACAAATATATCTGCTCAGAATTTCATGAGAAACACAGAGACAAGGGTGTTACTCTGCAATATTGGAAGAAGAAGCTTTCAACAGTTGTGAGAAGTATGAAATACTAATGGCCTCAACAGAGAAACATTGTCGGTTGTAATTTCAGACTATGAAATTGGGCTGTATAATGTCAGACTAAAAAATTTATACTCCAAAGAGTGAAGAAATATAGAAATATATCCTTGGCTAAAGTAAGAATACAATTATTCCCTTTCTACTTTTAAGTTTACATTCTACAGAGTTTATTTTTCAGCTGACCCACACTCGTAACTCATACCGCTGCATACTGGCCTAAAGTATCTCTGAGTTGCAGGTTAGTTTTTTAAGGGCTTACACCTGATAATCTACTGTCTTCTGCTGAAAGTTTTTCCTAAAACTGGATATATATACGCCCTTCCAAACATCTGAATTCTTGTGTTTCATAAATCCACCTTCAGCCATTGTCTTAGTTGAGATTTTTGAGTCATTTTCTTTGTTTCACATGGATTTTTTTATGAAATCTGTAGGAATTTGACTATGGTCTTTAGTCTGTTAAATTTGGTTTACACTGGCAAATGGAATCAAAACTTTTCTCCTGAAAATGCGTATTCTCACACTTGCTCTGTTGCTCATACAAACACACGCACACACAAAAACCAAGTTTAAAAGAACATATATCCTAGGAATAGGCTGAAGATTTTTTATTATTATTAACAAATGCGTTCTGGATTACTCAAATTCCTTATCTGACAGACACTCCAAGCTTGTATTGTTGCTCATAAAATAAGTAAATTTTTCAAGACAGGATTGTATTTTTGACCTATTTTTGTATGGCCGAGCAGGAAAATACTGAGACAGGAGCAGAGTCTTTGAATAGCACTGCACTGTAGACAACAGTGGGATGCACCTCCTTATCCTCACTGTGCCCCTAGTACCACCCATGCAAATACTGAATAATGATAAATGTTTATTTTTATCTTTTTTTACAAAAAGAGAAATATACCAAGCTTAAAAAAATAAAATATATTCGGTTGACAAGTTTTCTTTAATCTCATTTAATGACTAAAGATTTTTATTCAAAATTAATAATAAGGCAAAAAGATAATCAAATGTGTAGAATAAAAAGTGATGTTTGGATGTTAGTAAGATACAGCTGTCAGGCATGAATCACATATTCACCACTTCTTTTATCAGTTCCATAAAACCATTCCTTCAGCCAAAAATGCAAGCTTTAGCACAAACACACACACGCACACACACAATCTGTTAATGCAGCACTTTGCTGTTAGACATTTAAATTTTACAATAAAAATGGAAAAGTAATGTATTCCATACTGCTCCTGAACTAGCTGCAGTATCTCAGATAGTTAATTCAGAACTCTCTGGCTCAATAGCACCAAAAAGTCGTCTCTCTCTGAAAACACTAGGGACACACTAAATGTTACAGAAGGACTTCGCAACGTTGTCTATAAAAATCCAGTCACTGTTTTCATCTTAATCTTGACATACTAGTGCTATCAAGTTTATCAGATAATGGTTGTTACTATTAGCAAACCAGCCAATCAAGTGTCAAAATCTGCCCTTTTCCCTTTCTGCAAAACACAGGACAAGGATGGCAGATGAGAACAGCAGATCATGCTGATGAAGAACATTCTATACCAAATTCAGAATGACAGTTACATGAAATGGTCTATCACAGCATCATCTGAATCAACTATCATGTCAATTACTACTGGAACTTTCCAATAAAAATGTCTGAGTGGGAGTATCACTTCACTCAAAGGAGCATGAACAATACAGCTACTATTTCTTTCAGTAAGATTATTTCCAATTACAAGACAAATTATTTAACCACAGATCAAGAAACAAACAAGAATTTGGCTCGGCATCTGAATTTAAACCATACATTAAACTAAAGCTTTAGAAAATTCAGTTGATATTTACAAATGTGTTTTCTGACTAAAGATTCTTCATTGTTTAGCCATTTTACAGTGATTAACTTACTCATCAAAATAGATAATTCAAAACAAACCCTTTAAACCTTCTTGGGTTTATTTTTCTTAAACAGTTATCAGTTCCACCCATTGTCAAAAACTGGGAACCAAGCTAACTTTATTAGTTTCCTCTGAGGACAGACTGAGGGAGTTGGGTCTGTTCAGCCTGGACAAGAGAAGGCTCCAGGAAGACCTTATAGCAGCCTCTCAGCACCTGAAGGGGGACTACAGGAAAACTGAAGAGGGACATTCTATCAGGGACTGTAGTGATAGAACAAGAGATAACAGTTTCAAAGTGAGAGAGGGTAGATTTAGATTAGATATTAGGAAGAAAGTCTTTTCTGTGAGGTTGCCCAGAGAAGTTGTGGACATTCCCTCCCTGGAAGCGCCCAAGGCCAGGCTGGATGGGGCTTTGAGCAACCTCGTCCAGTGGAAGTTTTCTCCACTCATTGCAGGGAGGTTGGACTAAATGACCTTTAAAGTTCCCTTCCAACGCGAACTACGCCATGATTCTACAATTTGGTTCAGGGAACTACGTGTTGGCTAGCCTCACTTTCATCCCTGGGAAAGTCACAGCGTACGAACGCTTGGAACCAATTTCTGGGCATATGCAGATCTTGTCCTTAGGGGTTTTCAAGTTCTGACTGAAAAAAGAGCCTTGGGAAACCTATTCAGAATTCAGTGCTAATCTTGCTTTGCGCAGAAAGCTGGAGTAGCTGTCTGCGTGAAGTCCCTTTCCACCTGAACAGTTCCAGGAATCTGTTACAGTAGAAGTCTATGTTTACAGATCTACTCTTAGAAGCTGATCAGAGAACGAAACGGAAACGGCATTTTGGCTTAGCAGAGCATAAATTACTGATTATAGCTTTAACCTCAGTAACGTAGATAATGACATCAGTTGATACATAAGGGGACAGACTAAGAACCAGATTCCATGGGGCTGCTGAAGGTGCTAAGGATCCACCACATTTGCTTGCAAGACCACTTCAACGATATCATTACCAATCATATTCAGCTGAAGGCAAACGTGGGTGTAACTGTTGGACGTTTTGGTCTTTCTCAGAAAAGGAAAAGAAATATAACCTTCTAAGTAGACACACCCTTGGAAATTGTTTTCCTCTCTGAAATCTCTGTAATCTATTAGATTACTTCTACACTTAAACTTTCTGTCATAGGACACTCAAATATAGACATACTAGGGCCAAAATTATAATTAATGGAGAGCATTCTATTAACTGTAGGTTTAAATAGTATGAAATGGAAGCACTGTATCCAACTCTTGTAGTATGTATTTTTTCCATTCAAAAGAAACTTCAAGGAAAAAGCTCTAGCACTTCAACAATGTTGTAGCAATTAACATGACCTCCTCAAGTTAAATTAGAACAATATTGGTTGTAAAATATGTTTTGAAATGCAATGGGTTTAACTGAACTTATTTTCACTTTATTGTCATTACGAATCACAGTATCAGATAGTTAAACCAAAATACGTTACATAATATTAAGTTCTGACATGTTCTACTCTTCAAAAGTCTATCCTCAATCTTTGGATTTTAATACTGATTTTTAAAAATTCATCCATTACTGATTTAATTATGGTTGATTTTTTCTAAAAGGATTAGCCTGTGCTGAGCAGACTAGTTGCTAACAAAACATAATCTGTATTTTTTTATCTTTGGAATCCAATATTTATATTCCTTTAATAAATTCAGCAAAATTATTTTTGAACACTTGGCTAAACAAAAAAAACATCAGTCTGGCTTACTAACAATGGTCATTCACAAGCTTCAGTGGGCATTAAAAAGATTTAGTGCAGTTTGTATGAGCTCACCTACTTCATGAAAATTGTATTTTGTTTGAAGCAGTGTACGTGTGGATTTTGGACCAGTTAGTTGCAACGTGGAGTAAGAATGATGGGTCTGGTAAGTAACACAATATGCTGTTACTGAGCAAAATGATGTGTACATTTATCGTGCTTCATTACATGTTTTTTGTGTTATTATTGTATTCACATGTTCTTGTATCCACAATGTTTCGAGAGTTGAATTTCAAAAAATCAACATTTTGTACAAGTGCCTACAAATGGTATTAGAAAACATACATATTTATAATTGCTTACATTAGTTTTCTGTCAAATGTTCAATTTCCATATTCAGATGAGTATTCAATACAGTCACTGACAGAGACACAGTAAGTAAAATCTAGAAATCAAATACTTAAACTATATATACCTTCTTCAATGAGTTCATACTTCAGAATGATTTCTAAGGCAGTTTCTTCACAAGCTTCAGTTTCATATCGTTCTTTTCTGAGAAATTCAAGGAGCTGGGTGTCATCTAGAAATTCGGTGTTTGAAGCGTAAGCACAGAAAAGTTCATTAAATTCAGGTCTGTGTACAATAGTTCGATAAATTGACCACAAGTCTTCTCTGTTAATCAGTTGTTTCCTCCGTCTGCCAATTGTTTCCTGAAAAAAAAAAAAATTAAAACAATCAATATAAAGATGTACAATGATACAAAGATACACAAAAAAGGCTACCATAAATGACTATAAGAGTGAGAACAATTGAGAAAACCTCAGGTAACTGTGGCTGCAATGCATTGTCAAATTATATGTTTCTACTTCTAGATGCAAGTTTTAGATGTGAGTTTATGTGTTAAAAATATTTCAGACAAATTAAAATGTACCATGACATAACTAGCACGTAAGTAATTACAATAAAATTCTATAGAACACATAGACAATATTAAAATACTTTATAAAAAACCTCTAAAATGCTATGCAGTAAAATAAATCTGCAGCATAAAAATTATTAAGTGGAAAATATGTTTAATATAATGCCTCTCCAACAGTAATCTAAACCATATTGTAAATACTGTCAATTAAGTTTACATACAACATACAGCAAATAGTAATCTAAAAAATTAAATAAGAAAGAACAAATTATCATGAGATCAAAGTCTTTCAATACATCAAATAAGAAACACTGTTAAAGTTTGGAGATAAGTAACTCTATAATAACCTCTGACTTTGTGTTCTGTTCTTAACAAGCCAGAATGTTTAACTCAGATTAATTATTCACACTTTCGGAATTCTTAAACTCTAAGCCTGTTTTCACAGAGCTTACAAAATGCTAGCACATTAATTAATTTCCATGTTTAAGTATAAAAGCCACTAGAAGAATCAAAAGGGCAAAGTAGAATAATACTATTTTACCATTTCTGCCATTTACATTTTTCTCAGACATAATAATTTAATTTCTCCTTTAAGATTTTCTACACAGAATATGTAATTGTGCGTACATTTCTAACTTTTTGGCTTATGCTACTCTTAAAAACTGCCAAAGAAAAAGTAGAGAAATTTACTGACAAAATTACTTAGAAAAATCATAAATAAATGGTAATTCATTGTCTCATTGATTATCACTACAAGCTGACCGTAACTCCTGACTGTTGGTTCCTTAAAGTAAGACTACCAAAGAAGCAATATTTCAACCTCCAATAACATGGCAACTGTTGTTGTTACCGTATGTTCCCCAAAAGTGCCCAAAAGGATGGAATGGTTTACTTGATGTCGGGCTGCATTTTGGTAAAGTCTTTTGATTACTACTAAATTGGATTAGTTTTGAAGAGATACTATAAAAACAAAAAGCTTAACGGCTTAATGACACGTTACGTCATGAGCCGTATCAAGAGAAGCGTGGTCAGCAGGTCAAGAGAGGGGATTCTCCCCCTTTGCTCTGCTCTTGTGAGACCCCACCTCGAATACTGCGTTCAGTTTTGGTGCCCAGACCATAAGAGGGATGTGGATCTGTTGGAGCGTGTTCAGAGGAGGCCACAAGGATGATCCAGGGGCTGGAGCACCTCTGCTACGAGGACAGGATGCGGGAGCTGAGACTGTTCATTCTGGAAAAGAGAAGGCTTCGGGAGGGACCTAACAGCTGCCTTCCAATACCTGAAGGGAACCTACAGGAAGGCTGGGGAGGGACTTTTTACAAGAGTGTCCACTGATAGGACAAGGGGAAATGGGTTTAAGTTGAAGGAGAATAGATTTAGATTGGACCTTAGGAAGAAATTCTTCAGTACGAGGGCGGCAAGACTTTGGAATAAATTGCCCAGAGATGATGTGACTGCCCCCTCCCTGGAGGTGTTCAAGGCCAAGTTGGATGGAGCCTTGAGTAGCCTGATCTAGTTGAGAGGCGTCCCTGCCCATGACAGGGAGGTTGGACTAGATGATCTCTGAGGTCCCTTCCAGCCTAGGCCATTCTGTGATTCTCTGATGCTATGATTCTATGATTCTATGATTCTTCCTATGCAGTACAATTCCTACTAAGAGCTATCTGAACACATATAACAATAAAAGTAAGAATATATTAGATAAACAGAACAAGTACATAAGGAAATTTCACAAGGCCAAAAGTTTTACGAATCAGTGCTCAAGTATTTGTTTTGAGTTTGTGAAAAAGAATTGTCATTATAGTTTTTGACAGAAATCATCATCAAGAAAATAATACGGTACCAATGATAATACTCATTTAGTTACTGCTTGAGAAATCCTACATCGAAGATTGATATAATTCATCTGATTTTTAATGTCCATAAGAAAACTGCAAATTTACTTGCAACTGTGAAACAGGAAAAAAAAATCAACTTATTTTGGAATTAAACAATCTATCAAGACTCAGGAGACATTCACCTAGGTATTGGGCAAAAAATTAAATTTTCTATCTCAGTTGCCTTTTGATGAAATACAGGGAATAATGATACACAGATAAGATTTTCAAATTAAAGTTACGAAAATCATGTTGATATTAAAAAAAGAGATTGCTACAAAGTTTTGGATTTTTATAGTTCTTGTTTTTATTAACGCACATCAAATTCTTGTTATTCAGAAAAAGAAGTATCTTGAGAGTATTGGGAAAAATTCTATGAAAATGTACTATTCCTTAAAATGTTCGTACTTCTGATATTGCTCAGACGAGCATTACTGTAGAATAAATTGAGGAAGAATAGACAAGAAAAAAACAATTATTCTTTTAAAACTGTGGTTTTTAATAAAATTGATTTTGTTATGTATAACCATTCAATTAACTGCTGATCTGTAGTTACAATGATGCCAAGTAAGATTTCCTCCCAGACTCTATGCATTTTTACATATTATTATACTAATCTAAAATTTGAGTCCCAAAACTACTGAATATATTCAAGTCTCAAATAGAAAATAATACCTAACAGTACTGATACAGACAACTAGATCAGACGAGTACATTATCCTGTTAAATATAACTACATCACACTTGCTCAGTGCTGGTCACTTCTTCAAATAATAACTCCCTTCTCTACCCACCACTGAGCATCTCTCTCAAATTTCTGTCAGAAAGCAAAGTAGGTGGAATATACAGGAAACAGTGAGAAATAGTTCCAAGTTCTCATGAGGTTCTAAAGGTTAGCAACTCACTCAAAGCCATGCAGGCTCAAAACCAACAGGCATCCTCTTTAGCAAGGGTTGAATTGATGCTGCTGGTTTCACCCTGGCTCAACAAGGTGGAGAACAACTGAGAGAGGAACAAGATAAGAGTGAGGAAATCTTAATTCCTTCCCTCTGCCTTCCTACTTGTCTGTCAGCATCACATAATCTAAAAGTTTCTGAATTGCCATAGCTAATTCTCCTCCTTACCAATATGACACAATCAAACAGCTGGTTACAAAATTCTCCAAGAAATCACATATATATATAACCATTTGGCTTCATTCCCTCAGGAAAACAGCTTTTTAGTTAAAAAAAAAGAGGAAAAAAAAAAGCTAAAAGGAAAAATCATATGTCTTTTGAGTAATTACTAGAGCGGACCTGAAGAACATGAAAACCAAGTATGTCCAAAGGTACTCAGTTTTGCAGTATTTGCTAACTGGGATTGCATCTACTTGATGACAGTTTGCTTACTTACACTAAATGAACTTATTAGTAAGTCCAGTTTCTAGCCATATCACGTAACTTTCATGGAAATCTCTTAAGCATTGCCATATCTCAAGGCCACATCCTTTCCCAGGGTTTCGAGTGCAATTCCAATCCATTTGGGGACACCTCTTAAATAGTTCAGAGGAGACTTAAAATGCAAAATTGAACGAATGCATGAATGAAGGCCTGAGCAGATCATCCTCCTAGCAAAAGGATTTTTTAAGAAGTCACTCTAATGTCTGTGCCCAGCATCAGACAGGCATGTCTGCCCTCATTACCTTGATCACAGAAGAAGCTGAATGGGATGAAACTAGAATATTTTAATTTGTCTCAAGTGAGGCCATGTTACAAAAAGGTAGAGAACCAAGGCCTACATATTTTTCATCACCTTACATTATTCTGATGTGATGAAGAGATGGCATGGAGTGTCAGTCTCTTCTCCAAAGTAATAAGGAATAAGACAAGAGAAAATGGCCTTGAGCTGTGCCAGAAGAGATTTAGAGTGGAGATTAGGAAAAAAATCTTCACCAGAAGAGTTGTCAAGCATTAGAACAGACTGTCCAGGGAAGTAATTGAGTCACCACCCCAGAGGTATTTAAAAGATGTGTAGATGTAGTACTTAGCCACATGGTTAAATGGTGGGCATGACAGCGTTAGGTTGACGGCTGGACTCAGTGATCCTAAATGTCGTTTCCAACCTAAATGAGTCTATGATTTTATTCTATGATTCTGATGCATCCACTTAGTTACCAGTTTTACACAGAGGCAAAAGATCCAGACGAGGGAAGTTATTGATTTTGTATACCCTACGAGCACGAATTTCACTTCTCAAAACATTAACTTTAAAAAGTCAGCCAGTAAAAGACACTTATATGACTGAATTTCTAAACATATTGGATTGCTTAATCCCCATATTCCTCACCTTGAAAAGATGGTGTATATATATGTCATCGACAGGTATTTTCAGCTGATGAAATAGCCTCTTGGTGGAATTAAAATCAAACCCCTGAGCCCTGGAATCATTTTGAAGGATGGAAAAAAACCACGTATGAGAGATCAGGTTAAGGA